AGGGAAATCCTTCACTGACTTCATGAAGATTTCTGCTTGCTAGAAGTCAGAGGTCTGCCTGCACTCTTGTGAGCTCTGGCTGCCCAGCAGGATCCTGTGGTGTGTTAGATACTGCAGCAGGAGAACAGAAAGAGAAAACCTTATAGCTATACGCAGGACCTTAGTGATAACTGTACTTGTGGACACAGACTGAGTTTGAGATGTGTTTCTTTTGCCTTTCAGAAGGCAGACAAGAAAAGCCGGGGAGGAGAGCTTCTGAGCAGATGACGACGGTGAGAGACAGTAAGCAATAAATGTTGATTGTTTTTAAATCCCTCTTTCCATACTGTGACAATGTTTCTCAAGGCTGGAAGGGAACATCCTTCTCTGAGATTCACTTAGGCCTTTCCTCGCATCTCTGGTGTCTAGAGCTGCACTGCAGCTCCCCTGGCTCCAGGCTGCACCTGGGACACAGGGCCAGAAAGCAGGAGCAGCTGTGTGCCGCCTGTATCAGCATGGGTCCTGGTGTCCACCACCCTGCTGTCCGGGGCAGCGTGGGGAGAATGGCATTGCTTGTGGGAGCCCAGCATAGGAAGTGCTTGCTCTCCATCAGGAGGGCAGATCTATGGAGCCTCATGTGTCTACCTACAGACAAGCTGAGATGCGTTTTCTAGTCTTTTTGCCATTGCCTAGTTAATATGGATACAGATTAAGAGCAAGATGGATTAAGAACAGTTGCATTAGCGAACAGGAAGGAAGGAAGAAGCTGGTGAGAAGTGGGGCAGAGGAAAGAATGATCAATGATTTTGTATTTGTATAGCAGCTCAGTTTTTTGTAGCCTTTTCAGGCGGGATTCATCTCTCCTATTTTTAATCATCAAAAAAGTTAAGCATCTATATGTGTAGGCTCCTTTTATAGCCTATGCTGAAGGACAAGATGGGATGAATGTTCCTGCAGGTCTGTAATTGTGTAAGACAGGGAGGATGTATTGTCCTGTAGAGGTGCCAGGTTCTTCTTCCCACTGATGGCAGCCAGGACATCTGTCCTGGACAGGGTTTAAGTTGAGGGTAGCAGATCTTACCCTAACTCTCGTAAACACTTGTCCCAGAGTGTGAGGTGGAAGATATTAGAACAGACATGCTTCGCCCCATTTGCCATCTTTTAAGCAGTAAAACAATCAAGGTGTTACTAGAAATACTGCAGAATTTATGAACAAATAAAACAAAATACTAATGCTTTGGGTGAAAATTCACTAGTTCAGTGAGCACAAATCCACCAGCAGACAACATCCTGCTCCATACTTACTGGTCAGCCTTGCAACCATCACATAGGTGACCCGGTCCAAATATTTATAAGGAGCCCCTACATTTGTGTGATACAACTTGAGCTGGTAACTTTATGGATACAGTAAAGTACATCTGCAAACTCTAAAACTACTCAGCTGCCTATTTAAATAAGTTAGATACCTAAATTTTATCATAATTTGTATCGAGAAAAGATTACTAATCTATAACCAAAAGTTGTATTAAGACATCTCTGGAAATTCAGCCCACGGCCACCAGTCAAATACAGGATGAAACCTTATAAAACCTAAAGTCTCAGCCAACTACCTGAATTCATAACAGAGATTCACCTCTGAACAATACAGTGAAAGGGCACAAAGGATGTGATCGAAGTACGCATTGTGTGTTGGTACAATGTTATAGGAAGGAATTCTGCTTTAAAGCCTTAAATGGGTGTAGAAAAATGACCTGTAGCAAACAACGACCAGAAGGTGGCATTAGACATTAGTTTTTGATATTCAAAGCTGCACTCACCCTACATGCAGTTGCTCTCATGAATACCTAAGAACACCTTTGTCTTTATTTTTCAAGCCTTTATTGTTACAATATCTAATCCAAAATGTTCTGCATACCCTCTGGGAAGGAGTGGAGATGCTATGTATTATCACAAGAAAAAGCTGGCTGCAAATTCTGCAGTAATTGTATTAATTCTACATGAAAACCACTGCTAAGCACGTATCAAGATTGTTATTATTTAGAGATCCTCTCCCTTGTTAACAAAGGAATTCCTTGAGGTCATTCCTTTCCTCTCCATCAAAGGGCAGCAGTCCCCAGCCACCTGCCCCATAAGCTTCTGGATGAGATGCTGGAAAGCACCACCCAAAAGGCACTGATAAAATGGAGGAAGGCAATACCTCACTGCTCCATCATTGCCTCTACATTACTTTCTCCGCAGAAATCCAAACAGTATCTCCTTCATGGCAATGCAGACAACTTCTGTTAGAGCTGGCTCAAGATCTTTATTTCTAGCAAGATTAATTTGTAATTGCTCTAAGCCTAATTAAAATTAAGATCATATTAAAGTTTCACTACCATACTTGATCATTCCAAAGGAGATTATAAATTGAAATACTGTTGGGGATCATGGATAATGCAATGCTGAATGAATGTAGCGTTCTTATCAATAGTAAAAATTTGTTCTTTGCGCTTTAAATTATTGAACGCTGCACCTTACAAAGTGCGGAATGTGAAACTAATAATTTGTTTTAGGAGTATGGCTAGAAGCTACTGTAGTGCAAACAGTGAAGGTTGATCACAGATTCCCCATTTGCTATTGTACCAGCAGAAGAGTGTACTCTTCCCAGTTGATAGACATCATCCTCTTGTTGGAAACTACTATTATGCTCCAGTCTGCCATCTCACCAGTTCACATGAGTGCTCCTTACTCTGCCCCCTCAAAATTACCTGGATTGGAAAAAACCTGTTTTTTAAATTCTTGAAAGCAGCTGGGTTTGCCAGCTAGGGGCAAGGGAACACTGGCACAAGTCGCTGAGCTAGCAGGTCAAAAGAGGTGGCAACTCCTGGCAGGATAGTGATGTAAAGGCTCTAGAAGCAGCAACTCCACTGTCTTGAGCGGTTGGAGCAACAAACGTTGCAAAATTCCTTCGGAAAGGCCTGACAGTTTGAGATGCGCAGGAGTGCTCTACAAGGACATGCACTGCTGAACAAATGAAAAAGGGTAATTCAGACTCCAAACACAGACCGTGTTGATTAAATAAAGAAGGACACTATTTACAGCAGGAGACCTGGAATTAAAGAGTCCTTAGCCCTACTCTCATACTGCTGCTGACTGCCTGTGAGACTATAAGGCAGGCACATATAACTGAACTTTCTCAGTAAAAGAGGGTTAATAATAACCTCACATCCTTGTAAAGCACCGTGAAACGTCTGGATGGTGCGCGCCCTAAATGCTAGTATCATCATTATAATACTCTGCTATTAAAGCAACAAGTTGGGCCAATGTTCCCTGGTGAAGGTTATTCACTATCAAAATATGAATTCCTTTGCTGGCTCTACACGCTCATTAATCAAATACATTTTATGGAACATACTGGTTTCAGAGTAGACAGGCTGGAGTACTGTTCAAGAAAGTTTTAAAGCAGACAAATCGGAGGTGATTGCAAGAACTGTGATGGAATTGGGCAGCCAATTGAACTAACTCTCCAAATGTTTGCGGTTTTTGTACAAAAAAGGCTAGTAAAATAACTGTGAGCAAAGAAAGTTCCCGTGCTGAGAGAAGTATGTCAAGCCTGAATACAGAGTGTAAGGGGAGGGAAGTACCGCAGCCAGTTTAAGATTCCCTAGCCCTTAATTATCCAGTTAAATAATTTACAAGAATCTTTAAACTAATGTAAAGCTCATATGTGAAGGGTACCTGTCCTGGACTGAGTGTAACCACATGGGCTGTTGTGTTCTTAAACTCAGGAAAGCGTTTCAGATCAGGGTTGGCAACATTGACTTTGCTGAATATGCTGGATTCCTCATAAGGGATCCTGGTGGGATAAAGGAAACTGGTGTCACCAGGTGGGAAGAGGTGCCATCTTTTCCTGAAAATAGAGAGAAGATAAAAATGTATTCAGTGCATGTCAGTTACAGCAAAGAACTAAAGGCAGTAGCAAGGTTTTCAATAAAACATAAATCTGCCTCACTGTGTGAATCTCCTACGCAGTGAGAACACAGGCAGTGCTTACAGGCTGTCTCCTAAAAGTGTTTTTAAAATATTCCACTTTTTAATTTTTTTGACTGAAAAGATTTACAGCTTCTCACCAATTATTTTTAAAAGGCAGATAAAATAAAATTAAAAAAAAAAAAGCACTCTCCCATCTGGTTCCTCCTTCCTCCCTTTTACTGAGCAACACACAGCACTTACAGATGCTCAGAGCATTAAAAATTGCTCTGTAAACCAGGGGAAACAGTTTTGTTAGAGACAATGTACCTTCATTGACTGAATGAATAGCTGCTGTACTCATGTTTGTTTTAAAAGAAGGGTATTGTGTGTTTAGAATGGTAGTAGAGGGGTATGGATCTGATCTTCTGTTTCTTATCATCACCTACAGTACTTAATTGGCTGTTAGTCACAAAACCCTCATTCTTAGTAAAACTCACATTGATTCTTCTATGCCACAGATAGGGCAATGGCATAAATAAAAACTAGAGACATCCATAAACATAAGCATCCTGAAACATAAGTATTTTTTGGTGTTATCAGTACCACATGATGAAAATACGGCTCGTATGGGCCCCTGGGTTTAAGAACTCACTGGTATGACTAAATGTCCAGATAGAGCAGGACAAAGTCATTCTGCTCACGAGGGGACCCGTGTTCCAGGTTGCTCTCTATGGGCCCAAAGAAGCGGGTCATCACACCGCAGTACAGCACCAAGCAGAGCTGAGACATGGACCTCATCCTCAGGAGCTAATGTCTCTATTTCACTTACATAGACTAGATCAAAGACAGAAAAAAGAATATGCCAGAACTGGTGGTGCCAGTTTTACGGGTGCTATAAATGAAATATCTTGGCAGGTACATATGTTATTTAGAAATAGGAGTTTTATATGGCAGTACTTTAGGTGATGGAAATAACCAGAAAGGAATGCACAAAGGGAAAATTTATTACATTTAAGATGTGTCAGGCAATCAGTACTACAGTGACCCATGCACTAAGCAATGGAAAAGTAAAGGCAGTACTTTACAGCACAGTTGGACAATTGGCGCAGCTCTCCTCTTTGTTTCAGACTCTAGCGAGATCTTTTCTTTTTGTCCCTTTTCTTTGTACCCACTTCTTGCTTTTTGCCTACTGCTTCTGGTGGTCAGTTCATAGATCTGAAAATGGGAGAAAAGCAGCCAAATGGCACAAAACCGGAAGAGACAGGAATAGCGGGATAGCCATAACTGTAGAGACTGGCACAGATGGGAGTGCCATAGGCCGCTGACATTTCTTGGTAATTACCAAAGCCGCTGCTGGCTGCAAGCACAAGAAATAGTTCTGCTGAAACCCAAGCCCTGTTGCAACTTTATTTTGCCCTCCAAGCTAGACCCTCTTAAGGGGCAGAGAATAACTAGGTTTAGGAAGCTCATGGGTTAATCCTGCAGGCTCATGACAAAGCAGTATCATGAAGCAAAAAATTAAGAAGCCTGAGGGATGCAAGGAGGAAATTCAAGATAGCAACAAAGGGCTAAGGAGTCGTTCCTGGCTTTCCTGCAAAGGCAAATCTATTTAAGTTTAGCATAAGCTTATATTCCGTTACAAAGCCTGTCTTGTTTGTGAGTCTCAAAAGGGAATCTTTCTGCTCTGAAGAAGCACAGGATTCACAAGCTTGTAGAAGTTTGCAATCTATTTATAGGCTTTGTTCTGAAGAGGAAAACAACTTTGTCTTTTCAGGCCACGCAAAGGCTTCTTTCCCTGAGAGAAACAAGGATTTTGCTCTACCAGATGGGCAGGAAGTGTCTTGGGAAGGCAGGCAAAATTGATATGTGATGCTGGAACTCTGGATCGAGTTCGACACCTGAAGGTAAAGACCAGAGGCAGGGCAGGTATCAGGTCTGCCAGTATTTAGGTGGATCCTTAGAAGATATTTAGGCATGTAAGTCTCTCTGTTTTCAATGTTATTTCTGGCTCCCAAATACACTTAAGTGTCTGGACTTCAATGTATAATGCTTACTGATGCGATCTGAAGTCTACAGGACTGGCTGCAGCAAAGCGCAGTGCTGACGGGGGCTTCCAGACTGTCTCTGCTGCATGTTAAGCCAAGGATCTCAAAGCTGTTTATAAACAGGAATGAAAATCTGCCTGAGAGCTAAATAGTTACCCTTCTTACAGGTAAGATGATGACAAATTCATTTGCCTCAGGCCTTAAAACCTGTCAACCTGTGGCACTGCCCAGCATAGGAGCCAGCATGCCTGATTACCAATCCTGCACCTTAATCACAAGATCACCATGATTTTACTGTTGTATAAAACATCAGAGTAATTAATGACATTAAAATCCCACTGGCAAATCACTCCTTCCACTCTATACTATCAAATCTAAAAAATGCATGCAACTCATTTTGTTACTCTAGCATTACTTTAGCAATAACAGATAACAAAAAACCCCCGAGGCCACTATATGAGGAAACAAGAAAAAAACAGAATGGGGAAAAAAAAGACAGCATGCAAACAGGCAGAAAGATACAGCAACAAAGCCACATGCTCCAAAATGAGTCTGGAGCCTCAAGTGTCCCTTTCAACTTTACTCACAGCTGGCTGCTCCCATTCTGATGTTCCCCTTTTAAATTAATTCTAGCAGGCTATTAGAGGCTCTTGCACAGAGAATATTGTAAAAGTCTAAAGTAGTTTATTTCTATTTTGTTTCTGGCTTTTTATTTTTAACTCTTTATCCCTAATTCCAAATTCCTGAATTCATAACTACTAGGAAGCTTAAAATATTTATTATTGGACCACATAACACACAGATCAGAAAAGATCTTCCTCAAACAGAAGAATATAAAATCATGTTACCTCTGTGACCCAGTCAAACTCCAACCTGCCTGAAGTTCTGCCATTTCCTACAGAACAGTTCTGATGCTCTTCAATCATTGAGAGTTCAGAAAACTAAAATAATCGGGACCTAGATCAAGATCCAAGGTCAAGAGTCCAAAACTAACTTTATAGCATAGTTTAACTTTCCCCTGTATTTGTGGGGTGTATATGCACTTGTTACCTTCCTTGTACTTGCAACACTAAGTTGCAGCCGTAGGAGTCCAAATGGCAGGGGGTGTTTGCTCCTTCAGAACCAATCCACAGCGTGCTCTCTTTCCCGCTTCTTCCAGGAAAACCAAAGTCAGACCACCTTATATCCTACAGCAACGAAAAGGTTATTTAAGTAAGCTGTTGAACGGATTTACATCCTGCCCTCAGTTCTCCGAGTCTCTCCTCTCCTCCCTCCACTGCTCAGTCACACTTTACCCACTGCAGCTGTTACTCCTTGGTGGCATTTCTGCAGACATGGCCTGTGCTCCTTCCTCCCAGATTCTCCTCTCTAGTAGTGCTTCTTCTGCTGACTTTCTTCTTTTTCTGTCTGACTACACAGCCTCCCAGATCTGCTTCCAGTTCTCATCCCACTCTTTCATATTGCGCAAGTTACCCCTTTGCTCTACAGAAGGACTGCTTGTGGCCACAGGTGGCTTTTCTTCTTTTCAAACACTGTTTTTTTCCCCTTTCTGCAGTCCTAGCCCTCCACCCAAGCACAGGATTGCTTTTGGGACAACTCTGATATGTGGCATTTAAAAAAAGAATGGGAGGAAGGAAAAATCCCTATTCCCTTTTCCAACCAATCTGATAATGCATGTGGCCTGTTCGCTCTCTCTGCTCCTGTCTCAGGCTTCTCCAGGTATTCTGGAAATACAGACTTTGCCCCTTGGTATGACTTTACCCCTGTGGTATGCCGGGTTTTCTAAGTTCCTTATTATTTAATAGACACATTCTTCTCCTGCCTTTGCAACTGCGGAGACAGTGAACTTAAACCAACTCAATTACACAGTGAGAAAGGGCAGAGCAGACACACATCTGTTACGAACGTGATCCTGGAGCTTTCTAGTCCATTGATCCTCCCACAAGCAATCCCTTGGGGACGACAGCTGGAACAAGGGACAGCGAGGTATTTTTCAGATAGTTCAAGGGTTTTGCGGGACGGCTCTGTACAGCTTGGATAAAGCTTTCGCATCTTTCTATAGCTGACCCTGCCACCTGCAGGGCCTGATCATTTGTTTATTGGAAAGCATTTGAAGTATACTGGCCAGAGACGCTGGTGCCTTTTGGCTGGAGCCCCAGACTGAGCCTTAGGAAACAGGGATTCAGTTCCTGGCTTCCTGATGGTCTTGGGCAAGTCATTTCATCCCTGAGTTTTATTTTTCCCATCTTGAAAAAGAAGATAACAGTATTTGCTCCATTTCACTAAAGCACTTTGGGGTCATTCACATCACCTAACTTTAGGGACATAATTTCAGCTTGGCTCCTGCTCTTGTCAAAGCACTCTCAATCACCTCTTGGAAAAGCCTCTCTCTTTCCACTGTCTATAAAGAGCAAATAGGATTCTAGCCTCCTAATTTAAGTATGTAAGCTAGCTGCTTGCAGACAGGTAGATGACTATCCTTTTTTAAGATCTATGGATGAGGAAAACTACAGCTAGACATTATTATAAGGATGACTTCACCATGACTCTGTATCAGGAAACCCTCAAAATGAGTGATAGCTTTCCCAAAAATTAGGTGTTGCTAAAGATTTTGAATTGCAGCGTTTATTGATTTTAAAGATATCATTTGAAAAAAAATGCAGAAGTTTAATATAAACATTTGTCAAAGGCAGCAAAAAATCAAAACTAAAAAGTTGCTCCTATAGATTTCAGCAGCCATAAAATTTAAAATCCAATATAACTATTTCAGTGATAAAGTTAAACGTAACACCATCTCTACACTTTAATCTCACACCTAAATAGTTTTTGTATTTTGTTACAATTTAAGTGGAAAGAAAGCACACATAATCAATATTAGATTTAAAAGAACTTTTTGAAAATGCTGCAGCTGTAGTAAATAGTTGAAGCGATTATGGGTAAAATAGTTTTTAACCAATGAACTGAAAAGGAACTGGTAGGATTACTGAAATCTTGTCACAGTAGGTTCCTCTTCTACAATAAAAAGCCACAGCAAGACGAAATGCAGTAAAAGGTGTTCCAACCATAACAGATGGCACATTACTTGTGAATTATATTTATTACATTTGCTTCTTATAATGAAGTTAATCTGTACCCACATGTCACTTTAAAAGGTCTCATTTCTATTTAAACTTCATGCATATATCTTGCTTCTGATTTATATCTCAAATTCTGTAATGAAATATCAACTGAACAAAAAATGTAAGATGCTAGATACTGCTCATAGATTAGAATAATGGAATCATTACCTTAGCCCACACAACTGTAAATGATAAACAGTGCAATCTAAATTTCAAACAACTTCTAAATGGCCCTATTAATCACTATAAATAACAGTGCAGTTGGCCTTCTTTTCCCCTTCAAGTCACCTTACGTAAATCTAAATAAAATCTAAAAAGAAAAAAGGGGTTATCATCAAATTCACACCAGAATGGAAGATAATTTCTACAAAGAACTCTTTTGGCTGGTATAAATTGTGTAGCAGCGTTTCAAAAGCCATATGAGTCTGGAACTGATGGATGCATTTCACTCCCATGCCTGTGAAACTGGCAGATGACATACACCATATTTGCTTGCATAACACCATTGATTTTTTCCTTCCCAGATTCTGCTTTAAAAAAAACCCACGGCATAACTATTACGTGTGTCTATTCTAAAATTGCAGTACAGTCTGTTGCTTGTTATAGGTCAGGTGATGAGGTTGTGGCGTGACACCTGCACACAAATGCAATTCCTGGAGCCTCAATTTTGTTCTTGAATGGAGACAGGGGAAGAAGGAGGTAGGAAAATAGTTGTTTCCTTCAAGTGTGCTGTTATTGACTGAACGAAGCAGCAGGCTATTCAGGTCTTCTGAGCTGCTTTATCTTGTGCCATAAAACACAGGAAAATGCTGTCTGATGAGGCAGAAAGAAAGAAGACCAAGGCAGGACCTTAGAGGAAATCCTGCAAAGATATGGGGAAGCCTGAAACACCCCTGGAGATCCCAACTTAGTTCAAACAACACGACCCACTATCAGTTGTGCAGCCCAAGTTCTGTGGGCCTGGTTGTGTTTCATTGTGCCAAAGAAGGGAGGGAAGAAAGAAAGGTAAAATGGTCTCTGTGCCCAAACCTTACCTTCCCATCAACAACGGTAAAGGAGACAGTCTGAAAAAAAGACTGAGCATTGAAAATACCGATTTTACTTCTATAAAAGAATAAAATACATATAAGGAGAACGGGAAACGGTTTCTGAGGAAATAATTAATCTGAAGGAGCTTATCAGTTTGTATTCCCTGTCACCCCAGTGATACAGTGTTTGCAGGGAATTATGATTCCATCTTCGCATTTGAAAGTGTAGAAATGAATAAGGCTTCATTTACTATTCATTCTTTATATCATTTGGAAAAATACACCTTTTGTACAGCTAACCTTAATTTTGCCCTCTTACAATTTCCAAGGAGAAGTAGCAAGAACATAGATGAACCAATGCATTGAAATAGCAGATAGACATGAAGAAAGTAAAATACAATACCCCAGCTATGTGTCCCAATACCTGCATTTGGAAATTACCATAGAATATGTACTTCCATGGACAGGTTACTTGATGTATTTTACTGCCTTCACAGACAATCAAGGTATAACAATCTCACAGACTCAGAATCTCTCCTCGTAAATAGATAACCTCAATATATTAAGGGAAGGAACTGTACTACTTGAGAAAATGAGCCACGAGGCAAAACACGGAGCGAAACCACATTACAGCCTTGTTGCTACAAGTGAATCCATGCCATCAAATCCTCTCCCCTGAGTGGAGCTGTTAATTCGGGTACCATCTGGGTAAAAGGCGGATGTGGGGCAGCGGCAGGGTCTGGAGTTTGCAGTGTGCCAGGCCCACTGGCTGCCTGTCCTCACCAGACCCCGTTCCCACCTCATTCCCATACCTTCAGCAGAGGTGCAGGGAAAGCGTTCACCTGTAGAGGTCACACACATGACTCGGTGCTCCCCAAGCCTGCCCAGTCACAGAACTATGCTGGGCTAAATGGGAAGGGGAGTGCTGCCAATCTGGTAGTTGCTTTCATCACTTGTGGCGTTGTTTTTAAGCACATAAGGAGACCCAGAATTTTAGATGACTGCCACTGTGGTACTTGTTCTCCATTAGCTTGACAGCCAAGAGCTATTATTTCAAAATTTTAAGATAAATAGCCAAAGGAGCAGAGAGGGGATAGCAGCAGGGGTTTCAGAAGCTACATTAGATAATTTGCAATGATTAAGCTAGAATGAGATAATATTAATGCTTTACCTGGAAAATCTCTGGCTTGTCTTCAAATATCCTGGCAATGTATTTGTAGTCAGCATAAGCCCAATATTTGGAGTACTCATAACAACTGAATGGTCCAGAGAGACAAGAAGGCTGTCCACAACTCCAAGCCAAAAACTCTTCAAGTGTAGCCTCCACATAGCTACACCTGGTTTCAAACTGGGGAACTAAAGCAGCAAAAGAAAAGCCAAACATTACATGAGTACTGAGCACAGAAACAGTAAAAATAATAGGCAGTTTCTCTCTCAGCTCTAGCTAAATGCAACATGAGATACAAAGTGGAACTAGGTTGCTTGACTCTGGTCAATAATCACCTAGCTCACAATTAAAGTCTGAGACTATTGCTTTTTCATTAAGGTTTAAGTGAATGGCTGCTACTTTGAACTTGCTGTGAGGTAAAAGCACACCAATAGTTACTGTTGTTCATGTGCAAGGCACCCTTAAGCACAATAACTCAATAATACACCCAAGTTCCCTAAACAACTGACAGCCTGTCTGTTGCTTCATCTTCCTTCTTAGGTGTGAGCTGCAAATGTGCACACGAGTATTTGTGTACCCTTTATTTTGCCTCCATGGATTTACGCAGATGGATGTGTTCATCTTTCCCTTTGCCACCTAAAGCAATAACCAAATCAGCACAGTAATGCGTAAGAAGCAAATTAGGGAGCTACATGCGTGCCAATGATCCATCTAAAATGCTGTGTGTCCTTATTTTTCATTCGGGACTGACAAAAACATATTGCAGTGTTGCTTGGCAGATATAAAAAGTATTTCCCAGCAATGTTTTGCTCCCGTCATGCTTTGGTCAGGCTGACTGATGCAGCCTTTCAGCTCAAGGTCAGGTCTCTTGGAAGGCCTACAAGATAACCCACATCACAGCATACTTTACTTCTGGTTAATCAGAGATCTTCAGATCTTCGTTTCCCACCGCTTCTAATTGTGCCAGCTTCAAAGAGACTTAAAAATGCTAAAAAAACCCCAAACCGACTCACTCACTTTACTATAACTACTACCGGGAGAAATGACTGCAGCCTGCATGAATGACAATGATGGAGCTGCAATTTAACCTTGTGTAACTTGCACAGAGCCGCTCAGAAATGGGATCCTTTCACTGTTGTGCAGCAGCAGCTCTTCGTTCTTTACTTCTCTCATTTTGTTATCGCAGCAATTCCCATGGAGTCTCATACATTTGCTCTTATTCCCTTTAGGCAGGAGAACAGCTTTTAAAAACCTTTATCGCTATCATTTTGCCGTTTTGCATTGCAGTAGCCTAGGTAGTGGTTTTCCTTCCCCTCACTATCAAATTCATTAACTAAAAATGTCAGATAAGCCCCACTATTCAGCAATCTGTAACCTGGGTCTGTGCAGTAGAAGGGCTCCCTACCTAAGAACTGTATACAAGACATATAAATCATCTGCAATAACCAAAACCCCCTGTATCTGATTCCCTGTCTATGTTGCAGTCCAACGCTCCCTCCTGACACCCAGTCCTTAATGCAGTGCACATCATTTTACTAAAAGATGGTCTGATGGAAAAATTAGATAAAAGATACAAGCACTACTGAAGGTGGCTCAATATCTGTATTATTTTGATGAGAAAAAAGAGTGCTCAGACACTGCCTATTTTCCAAGATAACTTGGGAGCAAGTGTTTTAAAGGCAAGAAATATGCTCTTTCTACCTCACAGCATATTTCACTCTGAGCTTCATTTAAAAAATTCCAACTACGAAAAGCAAAACTATCTTCTAGGATACAATCTCCTCAGAGCAGGATTCTTGGTTTAATTTATAACTTGTTCAGTACCAAGGTGTGGGTGCTTATGGAAAAATTAATAGTAATAAAAATTTATTTGGGCAATCTAGACAGATTGCTTAGATGGATTTGTAGAATGCAACTAGGGTGAAAATATTAGCAATGGGCAGCTGAAAGCGAGAATATTATTAACCAATTTTGCTTAATGACTAAAAGCTGAAGGTGTTTTATAATTGATAAATTGTAGACTAAACCACATCATAAGTCTAAAGTAAGATACCAGTGCTGTCTGATGACATGGTATCTGGAGGCATAACAGTCCTCTGATACCCCACCTAATGCCACAGATTGAAACCAGAGGGAGGGAGAGAGGGAAGAAGTGCTTGTTGGAGGAAGCAGCTCCCCTCTTAGTTAAGGTCTGGTCCTGACAGATGCCAAATTCCGTTCTACTCAGAAAGACAGCGTTTGCAATGTATACTATGGGAAATGTAGAAAAAATAATAGCCTTAGAAAATACCCTAAAGCTCCAGTAAGAATGTAAGTGAAATGGCTCCTCCATTTCTTTAAATTTAAAAGAAAACCAAATGTCTATTCACAGCTGCTGGGGAAATAAAATTATTTAAACGAATAATCCAAGAAAAGAATAACCATTTAACGCTATAAAAAAGCACAGGCACACTCACAAACTAAAAAACTGACCATCCACATCCAACTCCAATAACCACCTCAAATCTCAGCTTTATGTGACATTTATTCAGCCTGTGGTATTTGTACTATACTTTCAGTCTCTTATTCAGCTATTGAGTCTATAGCCACCTTTGCAGTCCCTCTCTGTATCAAACCTCAGAGGCTTGAATACCTTTGCTGTCCTTAGTGGTAAAACCTCTTGGGCAGATGTCCAAAATGCAGCCCTTTTCTATCCAACTGCGTATCTGACAGCATCAGCTGTATCCCCCATCTCTACGAGAAATTTCCTCCCCAGATCTTGTGACTCATATCTGATCAGCATGACAACCTCTTGTTCTCTCCAGCTTCTTCACAGCAAACTCATTGTTTATTCATTTTACTACACAAACAGAGAAAATGGTCAAAATAAGAAACGTCTGCATACAGAAGGCAGTTAGGCGTAGGCCTTCTTCTTCCTTTGTAACTGCTGGTGTGCTCCAGGTAGCCATCAGATAGATGGGTTATAATGCTACATTTTCTCTGCCAGAAACTCAACTTCTGTAGCTGCTCCCCACCCTTTATCCCACCTCAGAAAAAAATATCCTTTAGTGTGGCTGGAACTAGATGGATAGAGATTTCCTGATTAATAGCACCTTCGTTGTTCTTGTAATGAATGCTGGTACTCTCTCTGGAGGTATCTTATCTCTGTCAATGCTTAATCCTCTGACTGTATTTTTTCCCTTCTTATGGACACATACTGTTTAACTTGTATAATCAGACAGAATACTATCAAACACACAAACTAAGGTAGGTACAAATAATACGCACAAATAATACTGGTAGCTCCCACGTTTCCCGTGTTTCAAATGTGCCTTCCACATCCATACGCCTCAGGAAGTTCCAAACTCGCAAGTAAAGCAAATACAAAATCCAAGCAATTCCCACCAAGTTGCCGCATTTGCAGTTCTCACTTTTTGATATTCAGGAATATTCAGTTTGGGAATCCTCACCGAGGCTGCAGATGTGGCACTAAAGAAAGATGTTGTCAGAGTAAGAGGTTTTCCAGATGAACCTTGTGGTTTAAATAATCTCGGAAACTCTGTAGCAGCCGTTTCAGAGTGACACCAAAATATACCTACAAGCAGGAGAACAGTTTCTTTCTTGTATATGTTTCCGATTCAGTGGCAGGAGTGGTCCCGTCTAGCCTTAAGGCAATTAACCTATTGTAAACATGGGAGGAATATTCAGAGAGAGCAATACAATTTTAGTTTTATTCTCCTGTTGCTTTCTCTAACCACATCACTGCCTCTGGTTCATCTGGCAAAGTTAGTGTGAACAATGATAAGAAAGAGAGGCCCTCGCTGAAAAACAACATTAAGCACACAAGAGTGAGATCAACCATCTTCCAAATGACAGTGTCCCATGAAATGTATGATTTCAGACTCTGAGATGGCTTGGCTAATGGCTTCACTAATATATCCTTACAATGCAAATTTTTTATAGCATCACAGGTCTCATTCAGTTACAATCCCTGAAGGCTCTACCCATCTTCTTGAAGACATTTCTAGCTCACATTAGCATATAATGGAGGTTCCTGGAGACAAAGCAATTGCTGCCTAGGGATTGATGCCTTTAGGAAAAAGCAAAATACAGATAGATGCAACTTCAAGATACAAATTCCAATTTAAATCTACTCTGTATCCCTAGTGACTACAAGTTATTGTTAAGTGATGACTCTTATCTACTTAGTTGGTAGCATCAATCCATCACTTAGCTACATAACACTCCATCAATCCCATCAGAAGCTTTCCCACTTGGAATACCAATTTGGTGCTCAAAAAGTGCCTACTAATTAATGGAGACTAGGACTAAAACTATCCTTTTTCCTAGTAAGCCTTGCATATTACAACTGAGATATATTAACAAGGCATCAACAAAAATGTCACATATACGCAACTTCTTCCCTATTGGCAATGGAATGCGGTTTACATGTAGTGCAAGAACTGGCTGAGACCACATCAATTTATAGAGATATTGCTGTGAAGATGTGTACCAATGTATTAATTCTACACCTCAGAATCATTAATCTATGCTGGTAAAATGATTTGAAATTCTAAAATGCCACGCATTTTCCCTCTAACAGTTCCGTTTCATCACTCTCTCTTGCAAAAATTGATCATGAAATAATATGGTCATGATGCTGGGAAGAAAGCAAATTTCACACAGTGTTGGTAAGTAAGATAACATGATGTAATCCTATCACTTCCATAGGAACTGGCAGACCCTCATCTGGAGTCTTTGTGCAGACCCTACATTCCAAGAAAGAGGCAGTCCAACTGAAGAAGGTTAGAAGACTACAGAAAAGAATAGCTAGGTGGGATCTAAAAAACCACGACTTACATTGAACATTCTTTAAAGACTGGATTTATTTGGCCTAGGGGAAAAAAAACAACAGATTGAATGGAGACAAGATACTTCAGGCAAAAGGGAGAAAGTGCACGGCAAAATCTATTTTGGTATGTGGCTGAGAGGGCAAAGGATGTACAGGGCACGAATAAAGCAATGCATAACCTCTGAAGTGGCTAGCAGATTGCCACCTTGGAGCACATTTCCTGTGTCTTCCCTCCCTGGTATGAAACTCTGTCCATTGATAGGCTACAACTAGTATTGTGTGGCTGCAAAAAGAAATGTCGTACTTAAAATCAAGTGCAAAAATTGTCTTTTTCCCATGGTGCATTCCTAGATGTCTGAGTGAATCTGGAGGATTAGAGGTGAAATTGTTGTACCTGGTATCAAGTGATTTTCTTAATGCTTTATACTTCTATAGCATCTTCCATCACAGGACTTTATAAAGTATTGAAAACAACCATGGTCTTGTAAAACCTCTGAGAGGAAGGTAAGAATTATCACCCTTATCCAGATAAAAAAACCAAAGATAGAGTTAGTTAATTGGCTAATTTTTTAATGCATTCAGGTTTGTGGATATGGAAGCTCAGCTCACATGAATGTGTGAATCCCACACACGCAGGACCAACCACACACACTACAAAGCAAGGAAAGAAAATGGAAATGCTCGATTTTCTTATGTTAGTGTTATTCACCAGACTTCCTATTAAGAATAAACAAACACAAGAAAGAGAAAGGAGGGTTCCCCTGTTGGCCAAACCCCATGCCCTAAAACCAAAGCCTGTGGTGAAAAGCAATACACTAGAGAGTGAACAGTGATAATGGAGAGGCAGAGGATTGCAGAACCTAAATAAGAGAGTTGTGACATGTAATACCAGTCCACCTCAGTCTCACCTAAATCCATGGTCTTCAGACCTAGCCTAAACTGGATTGTCTTCCCATCCAACACCGCAGAAAGGTATTTCGCATTCCAGTGTAGGGCTGGCCAGTCGCCAACCATGTTACAGAAGACTGCAGGTTGCTGTAGAGACATCACAATTTCCTTGGCTTTCCCAGGAGTAAATGGTTTGACATCTTCACCTGTGTAAAGAAAAAAAATCAGCTGTAGAGAGATGATTTATGATACCTGAATTGTTACCTATCATCTCCCACAGCATAGGAAACATTAAGAACTAACATCTCCTTTATGGTCGATGCTTTTATTACATTTGTAGATTTCTTTGAAGTCAAATTTCTCCTGCAAAGACTGAAAGAATATTCCTACGCTAAATTAAAGTTTAAAGCAGTGTATTACCACACAAAATGTAAAAAAAAAATATTAAAAAAATAGGCATGTGCTTAGAATTTTCACTTGTAGCTTAGGCAATAAAGCACTGTAGCCAAACTGTATAGAATTAGGCTAACAATAAAAAAACCAAACCTGATGAATAATGTCCAGACTTTAGAGAACTTAAATTTTATGAGTAACAGTCTTTCTGCATGGGATTCTATCCAAGAAGTGTACAGCATTGCCAGAGAGGGCAAACCAAGTTCCTACGCGTTTGATTTAAACCAAGAAACGACAGCATAACCAAACAAGCAAGTATTTTTAAAGCGTTTTAAAATTCCTTTTAATCTACAAAATTTTAGAAGGAAATTGTGCCAATCTAAGAACTAAACTAACCTGAGATTCCCAGTTACTCCTTTGCTGTTTAGAGATTTATATGCCCCACTGAAACTGTCAAGCTGAAATGCTGGCAACCTTGAATAAACAGCACTTTCAGAACAACTTTTCTTTAGGGACATATTGAGGAGAACCTGATTTAAAAAAAAAAAATAACGTAACAGCTCCATAGAGCTGAAGAAGTCAACTACAACTCCAGATCATAAAAAAATCCATTCATTATTTGGACCTCAATTGAAGTTAACTTATCCAGAATTTGTATCCATATAATGTCTAAAATTTAACATACAGAATCAATACGTATGGTTCCCCACGACTGCTAGCAACTCATTGGAAACAAACAAACCAATTCAATCACTCTAGGGGTCGAATTATGGTCTGGAATGCATGAGGGGTTAAATAAGCAATGACAAGAAAATTCCATTTACTGCTGGGTGCTAATTTTGCCTATCACTCCTCCCCATAGATGGGTGGTGGGACAGGTAGTGGAGAACCAGCATCTCCATATGGGGCAGCCCAGAGGTGGTAGCTGGGGGAAATGCAGAAGACCCACTGGGAACAAGGCCATTGAGGAAGGTTCTTCAGGATTGTTTCAAACATAACAGTTTAAAATAAATACAAGAATGCCAAAGTACCAATGGCAGGAGTAAGAGGAGCCCTGTGCCCGCTGTATGCCAAATCCCATTGGAAACTTTTGAATCCCCCTTCTTTTGGCAGGGTTTATGCTCCAGCACAGCTGTACATTCTAGTTTTCCGAATTAAACCGCTGTCTTCATGCAGATTTGGTGGAAAGTTATCAGTGTTGGGGTCTCCTGTGGTCAAGGGGTCCCTTCTCCCACTGACTTCCAGGGAAACTGAATTGCTCTCTCCTTCTACTCCTCATGAAAACTCCAGCCTGAAGCTTTAAAATGAAAGCCCTCCAATATTTTATCTTCATGGAACGTAAATTTTTTAAATGGCTTCCCTTTCTTAAGGCAGATGACAGGAGGGAGTTTGGGTTTTGGTTTGTTTTCCACGTTTCCTCTCATACGCAGAGCAACACTTGACAGGATGGTGTTGCTGTGACACAGAGATGTCTACGACACTTGGCCTTCAGTCTCGCGCTCCAGCAACTTGCACAACCAGGACATAAGGAGGCCTCACGGGGACCGTATGTTTTACCATATGGTCTCCACTACCCCCCGAAGGAGGCTCTGGGGGTTTCTGAGCAATAGGTTAGTATACCTAGAGGGAGCAAGTCCAGCGAAGGCAAAAAGACCACGTGCAGACACAACAGCACGTGCTGGTGCAGCTACCAGGAGCTGGCTGTAGGCACGGTAAGAGCTTAAAGCTCAGCATGTTTTTTCGTGGTGATGTTGTTCAAAGACTAAAAGCAAGACTCAGTCCAGATCTGAACACTCCCAGAGGGGTTTATAGAACTTCTTCTGTCTTCAACCAGTGCAATTATAGTATCGTATAGAGGTGGCTTTCACGATGTGGGAGCTGGCTGGCATTACATTACTTTTCAGGTTTTCCAGCTTGTAAAAATGAAATTATTCCTACTTAAGCTAAGTTTATCATTGCATAGTTGTCTTTTCGACTGCTCAATTGTTTTTGTTTTAAGGGCAGTGCATTTAATTATGTTAGAGAATATAAATGCAAAGAAATGCAAGATATTAGTGGCATTTTTTTGGAGGATTTTGTGAAGCCGACTTTGATTGCAAAAGCTTCCGTTTATCCTGTAACTTCAGTCAACAGTTGGGATGTGCTACAAAAGCGGAAATTTTACTGGGAGAGACAGGAAGGCTCATTGAAACCAACTGTTGATTCTGTGTGGCTTTCTAATGTGATTTCCACACGCATATTGTGCTTTTGAAAGGCGTGGGTTTAACCACAGTGACTATACAGTGGGAAGCTCAGAGCTCAACCTACTGGGAGAGTTTGTATCAATGCCAAACAAAAAACCACAATTAGACTAAATAGCCTCTCCCCTACTGAACATTAGCTGGAGGTTATTTTTTTCATGTCACCATGCTCTACTCAGTTATAAACCTATTTCCCTATAATATTTAGAAACAATGAAAGCGGACAGTCTGTCTCAGTAAAATGCTAATCATTCCTATCTTCAAACAGTATTGAAATCATTGTTAAATGAGTATGTGTCTTTTCCTGATATCGATAAAATAATCACGTACAATACGTAAGATGTAATCAGCAGTGAAGTTTGAAACGTCTTAGAAAATTTAAAGCATTAGATAAATCAACATTAGTTTTTTTGCAAAGACAAATGGGGATTATTGCTAATTTTGTGCAATGAATCCTTAAGTGTCTTGATCCAGTTTTATGTAATCCTTGGTGAGAACAGCAGTCAGCTAAACATAATTCTTTCCCCATAATATTTGTCATGCATATCTAAATGCCTGTTAGAGAAAAGGCATGCAACAAAAAGTAAATATCATATACTACATCAAATAGGTATTATGATAATTTTGGGAACCCTGCTTATGACCAATAGAGATTTCTGATGGAACTACATACTGTAGGAGTGTTAAAAGGTAATTAAAAGAGATATCTGAAAATATCTCTTGAAAGAGAGATTCAAAGAAAAATTTGTAATTTAAAATAATAATAATAATCTTTTCCTCAGTTCTTGTTATCATAGCTTCACACAGACCTCATAAGCTGGGCTCTTGCTTCTCAGCATCTCCTAACCTGAAATTGATGGTAATTGATTCCTAGGCAAGACCTGAGGTTGTCTAGCATATATAATGGCATACAATTGGGGCACGGATGTCTATAAGTAAAAGGTATATAAATAAAACGTGTTGCGAAGAAACAAAATGCCTGTGGCACATCCTGGGCATTAGATATCAAATTCCTGCGGGAGATCAAGTAGCAGGAGAGAACAGAAATGCATATTCCTTTAGAAAAGAAAAGCTCTGTTGGAGTCTTCATTTTCTCAGTTGTACTCTGATTCAAAAGAGAAAAGGAATACTGTTAAATTAGTTCTTTCTATCGGGCTCAACAAATGATGTGGCTTCACAGTACAAAAGGAAGCAGGAATAATTTGTCTTGTGTTTTGACTTTACACAAGGCATGTATAGAATCTGACCAGGAACTGAAAACCAAACCAAGTTTTAGCTCCAGTTTTGTAACTGTGACAGCTTATATAATTGGCGAAAAACGTAGGTGTTCTTTAGAAAGGTAACACACTGCGAAATAGAGATCTTCCAACCAAAAAAACAAAGCTCTCCAGTCATCTTTACATGAAGTGTTGTCAAATATGAAGATTTATCCAGACTTCAGCACTGAGGGCAGGTAAAAGAAAAGCAATGAATTGGCGAAGTACTTTCCAGTAGATTTTGTGCTTCTAAGAGAGAAAATAATGTTTCTGATTAACAATTTTTCTCAATAACTGAGCGGGGTTTGGGAATAGAGTTTAGCACAGCATGCAGTGTGACGAAAAGTGGACTTGATCAAAGTTGTTCAGAAGTTAAATGTACTGTCATTAAAAAGCTAAATGTACTGTCATTCATTTAAAATAATTTAGCAAATTAGAAGAGTTCATTAGTGCATGGTAGTTGGCTTCTGCCAAAACACCCTGCTGCTTAAATATGAGATTTAATTGAGAGGTATTAAAATTATTTTCTAAAAGAAGGAGTACAAGGAAATCCTGACAATGTATTTGGTATAAGTGTTGTCAAATTGTTTTTCTTGCAAATCTGTAATGCTTCATCACCCTTACTTCTTTTAAAAAATGCATAAAAAGTTAAAAGAAAAAAAAAGGCATCTGAATACATTAATACAGGGAAGTCAGGTCACTCAAAAAATCAACTAACCTACAAAATCTTAACTATCCAACAACTAGGAGTAGAAAAAAAAGAAGGTATGGGGGAGGACGGGGTAATTCCCCAAACCAAAGAGAAGTGATGTGGTTTGGAGGTCAGACTTAATGATTTCACAGTACATTAACTCTGTAAATTAAAAAATGACTTTAAATAATCTGCATGTGATTACAATGTTATGCACTGTAATCAGCCTAGGCTGGGCAAACAGAATGCATCTAAATATACACGAGTAGTTTTCAGGATATACCGCATGAACATCTAGGTGGTACTTCCGGACCAGTTATTGCTGTTACTATTATTTTTGACTCTGGGTATGTCAATATTGCAGTTGCAGCATAGCTGGGGGGCATCTAACCTAGATTTGCATAGATATTTTGGCTACTGAAGGATAGTTAGCAGTTGCGTGGAGACTCTCAGGACAGACCGGTCAAACGCATCTCTGCACTGGTAAGACTGGCATCTGAAGCTTACTCTGGTAGCCTGAAGTCAACACACCCTTCCTTGCCCTCCGTGCCTGCTGCTGCAGAGGGAGGGGAACAAACGGAAGGAAAGACGTCAGAACAGGAATTCGTATTTGCACCCACTTTCCA